ATTTTTTACATAATAAAGATATATTCAAAGCACTTGTTGTTTTTAATAATGACGATATGAATGTAAACTTGAATATTTTGGTCCTGGGTATATTAGTTACCTTTCACATCTTTCTGTACTTAGAAAGACTGTGATTTATAAAAAGGAGGGTCCCGAACCTCCTGTTCTTGGATAAAATGTAGGATCCTTGCCATATAGTGCATGTGTTACAGCTGAGAGGGGGAATGATTTATTTGGGAAGGTCAGTACAGGTCACTGAGGCCTGCTATTTTCCGGGCCTTCTGCATCAGGGCTCTCAGTTGGAACTGTTTTCTGGAGAGTAGGCGCACATGCTGCACACAAACACACACAACAGAATACTCTGTATAACATATACTCAAATATTGCATTTTACAGCTTAGACCACAGTAACAAAAAATGCACAGGGTACAGTTGAGACTAACCTTAAGAAAGACATCCAAGTCAATGACATCTCTGCGCAACGCTTCACCCAAGTAGAAGATTGTGTCTTCTATGGCATTTTCTTCAGCGTAGAGGTTCAGAATCTGCTTATACAGAGGAGCGGTGGGCAAAATCACATCATCAATATCATTGTTCTCAGACTGCTTCTCCATTTTTCCCAGAGCAGCAGTCAGCTCATCATCTTTCTGCTTAAGGAGATCAACGTTTTTGTCCACATCAGCCTGCAATTCAATGGAAAGCACATTATTATTTTGTATTTCATAAAATATTTAATTTATACAATACCTTGTTAAAAGAAGGATTTACTAGAAAGTATATATTTACAGTAGAGGTAAAAGCATAAGTCACTATTAGCTCAAGTATCAATAAGGTAAAAATCTAAATTTACAAAACGTCTCTTGTACCATCTCCAGGTCTAGTTTGGTCACCATCTCCTCCAGCTTCTGGTGGCCTCTCTTTAGGTCCTCCTCTGTCCTTTTCAGTGCATCCAGCTCTGCCTGTGCTCGATCCATCTCTTCTTTCATCCGCCTGCGCAACTTGTCACTGACTGCAGAAACCAAAGATGCACGGATTGTGTCCTCACCAATGGTGCCGTCACGGGTGGGTCCTGAAACACAGCAAGAAAACTCAAATGTTTGCAAGTGTATCAAAGTACAGTTTTTTGGAATGGGTTTATGCATACTACTATTCAAAAGCTGGGTCGGGAAAATTTCTTAAATGTTTTTGAAAGAAGCCTCTAATGCTCACCAAGGCTGCATTTATTTGTTCAAGAATACAGAAACAACAGTAATATTGTAAATATCATTACCATTTAAA